CGGTAGGTAGTACTTGTCAAAGGATGCAAAACAGTCCTAATGAATGTGGTCGAAAAATTAATATTTTTAAGGTTATGAACAATTTTTTGTTTCGGTTAAACCTAGTGGCATGTTCTCGCTATTGAAATGAAGAGAATCGTAAAAAAAGGCTAGTAAAAATTGTAGAAAACCTTCTGTAATCAGGAAAAGAAGAAATGATAAAACAATAGGGTAGAGGTCATATGAAGGTCAAATTCGTTTTTTTAAATGGAAGGACATGCTTCTTTACGTACCATCTAGTACGTAAAAAAATGTCTTTCCATTTAAAAAAAAAAACGTAGTTGACCTTCATATGACCTCTATGCATACACCTATCAACAAACTATTCATATCAAATTATGTGCTCTTCGATACCAAGTAACAACCAAGATACTCAGGTGGTCTGTTTTAGGTGCCTCACCCTGTATATCGATCATCTGGAAGGGATTAACTGTCCTATGGGCAATCGATGCCACATATGTATAGGAGAGCTTCTGCAAGTTTTTACATACGGTTGGAATCACTTTGATTATTTAAAACAAAAAAAGGAAAATGTAGTCTGAAGTGTTTTTTTTTTTCATTTCATTTAAATTGAACGCAGTTGCGGCCGTTTTACGCTGCGCACAAAACCGTAAGACTTGCCGTCGTTACTTCTGTCTTTGCACTGTGAATCACGGAGATTTATTGTGAAAATGTTTTTGCGTCACTTTCGCGATCCCCCATTGTCATTCAGAGTCACGTTCTATTCAGCCGAATCCACGTAGAAAGTATAGCAACTCGCGAAACATCTTGGAAATCTTCGAGAGAAATGGTTTATCGATAAATCACTAGAATGTTCTGGCAGTGGTTCGTTAAATTCTCGTAATCGTATTTTTTTTATGAACAATCTTATTTTTTAGGCATTCCAGGATGGAAATATAATACTTTATTTTACGATCTATATAAAATTACAATATTGTTTCTAGCGTTCTATATGATTTAGTAAAACGATAATTAACATTATTTTCATTTTAATCCTTAATCCTCCTCTATAATCCAGGTCAGTTATCCACTAATAATTTTTCTCTCCTACTTTTCAATGACGCGAACTACGACTCTCAGTTATGTTATTTACGCTTTTCTTTTTGTAATTTATATCTCGAGTCGAAAACACCTATTCGACGGCCGTCAAGAAGTCTATTACTGTTACACAATTATTTCAATAAAGTAATTAATACATCATTTTTCTTCATAACGCGGCTAACAAAAACCGTACATCGCTTACATCAAGGACTTACGGTCAAGCGATTATTTTTGCCACAATCTATTTTCCCTGTCTACGATAACGGAATGAATACATCCAAACGATCTATGTATGCTAATAATCAGGCGTTGTTTAAACGATACTGCTTGTTTTTTCTTACATCGATATGTATTATAAACCCAAGACTTGTGAATAACAAACGCGTCGGTTTGTGACGTTGATGTGATCCGGAAGAGCTGTCCGTGGAGCATCTGACCTTCGAACCGTAACGACGGGAGGAATTGTGTTGCACTTGTCGAAACAATTCCCCGGAACTTTTGGTAAATATCTACGGGAAAAAAATCTCTGAAGTTTCATCGTCGATTCTGTACAATTTTCAATCGATATTATCCATCGATCGCCACGATATTTTCGGATGATATTCGGTGGTTAACTTATGAGTCTGATGGTTCTCTCGTTACGGAAACGTCGATCGTTGAACTTAAATTCCACTAGCGCCCCCTTGTGTCCGCCCTACGCGCGAATCGGATCTTCGATGATCTCCACATGGACTTTCCTTGCTGCTGATTCACTCCACGCGATAAGATTCGCCGGTGTACTTCGACCAGTGGCATTGTAAATCACAATTATTAACGACTTCACAGCGGAGAAGGAAAAAAAAAGGAATGAAACGAACACTTGTTCGGTTGCTTCACACATTATGGGCGGTAACAGCACTATACAGTGTTAACGCGCTGCGATTGGTAGCCAACGTTACCGCGGGAACTCGGCCGGCAGACACGCGCTCTGATTGGTCAGGGTTTTTCGTTAATATCTCGTTAACAAAGCCTCGAATAACATGTTTGTTAAGAAAAAATTTATTTCAAATAATCTCACGAGTCTTCCATTTCCGGGTCTGGGTTAGGTCCTCCAACATTTTTGTTACACCCTGTATATATTATTTGCCCCCACGGAATGGAAATTGAAGCCGGACGTTGGGCACGTACGTTAGACTAGAAGTTGGGTTGCTTTTACGAAACAATGATCGTCGTTTAATTCCATAAACAAGATTACGGTTATCGCGAGCGCGGAGATAGGCCACTTTTGTTCTCTTTGAGGAAGTTTGCTCCAACGATCAACCATTTCAATGTCGTTGATGCCCCGTTAACTCTCTGCCGCATTAACTTTTCCAAGTAACCGGACGATACGTACAGGAGATATAGAAAAAAATGTTATTTACGATCGGTAGGACGGTACAAGAACGAGCATTTATAAGAAGACGACGTTTCACGGGGAACAGGAAATGCACGCGAACGTTTCGCGCAGTGTCATCTTAATCTTATATACAGGGTGTCCCAGTAATGACGGTACAATCGGGGAGGGGGTGATTCTCTAAATGAGAAAGTAAGTTGAAAATGTAAAATAAAATGTTGGCATCTGAAGCTTAGTTTTCGAGAAAATCGAATTTGAAGATTCATCTGTAAAGCTGTGTCTACATTATATAGCATAAGTTACATAGCAACGTTATAAAACTTGTTGGAAGAACAAAAAAGAAAAATGTTATATAACATTTTTCGTGTTATATACCAGTTATATGTTATCCATCAAGTGTGACGCCATTATTTATTTATTTACTTAGTTATTTAACAGGTATAAACTCGGTGTACATACATAAAAATTCATTGAAAATGAAATTAGAAACAGTTACAGGAACATAGTATACAGTATGGAATTAATCTACCGAATAAATTCGAAATTATGGTTGTTCATGCATCTTTCCCCATTTCGCATTTTTCTTCGAATTAGCTTGCACATTGTCATCGTTAGCGTCAACAAAAGAGATCGATGACGTCACGGAGGATAATCCAGTGTTCGATGTCGAGTCATGGTTAAAGTTAACTTAAAAAAAAAAAGTCGCTATCGGCGATGTCCATCGCTCCCGGAAACGACGAAGTCACTCTTTGGTAATAAAAATATCCAGTTATGGTAATAGCTCCTGAGGCGGGTTCATCTCGATCCTGGTTTCTTTCTCTTTTTCTTTTCTCGGTCCCTACTTCTTTGTCGACGTAATCCGTTTGCGCGCACGTGATCCAAGAAGCTCGCGCAAAAAAAAAAGAATAAGAAAAGAAATTCATATAATAGCGAGCAGAAAGGTCCAAGTCCAGTGAACTTTGTGTCTCTCCCTCGATCTGTGAATCCGCCGTTAATCTAATCTAATCGGCGAATCGCTGACAAGCTTTCTCTCGAAATTCTCGTCATGTATCCGCACACTTCAAGTTCGCCGTTGACTGTCAGCTGCGGTGGTATGTACACCTGGCGCAGCGATTAAAAAGAAATAAACTTGTTGTTACACCTTTTCTTTTTTTTCGTTTTGTCCCCACCCCGTGAAACACGAGAACACGGAGTGTCCAGTGCAACGATCGATCGATGGATCGCGACTCGTCGTTTTGCGGCTAATCAGGAAACGAAATAGGAACGGAGAACGATCAATTTCGATGTCTAAGGTGAACAAACTTGGTTTGGTTATTTTTCGATGATTCAACAACCCCGGCCGATGCCTGGGTCTATTTTGACCCGAGACTATAGTCGAACCTGTTTGTTTATAGTGTAACCGTGTAGAATGAAAATTTTAGGGTGATTTTATAGTTATGTCATGCAATATTTAGGAAAAGCGATTTTTCCGTGTTTTTGTTTTTGAAGAAACCTACTAGTGTTAAATGACGTCCAAACATTAGAAAAACGTTGTTACTGTGACCACTATAGCTGTTATTTATCGCGAGCAAAGAGATTGTTTATAAAAAAAGCATAGTTTAAAAAATGTTTTAAATAGTCTTGAAATGACTATTTGTTGTTGATTTTATGAAAAAATAAATTTTCATTCAAGATACCAAAACGATGCAGTGAGCTGGGGTAATTTCTTTCACACTTGATCGAGGTAAACGTCAATCATATCGAGAACACGTTTTATAAATCGCAAGGAGAATATCATTTTCTGTAATTACTGATCGTTCGTAATGAGAAACGGTCAATTACCGTCAGTTCTATGCTGGCTATCCCAGTCTCGACGCAGTAATATCGATCGCTCGATTGCAGTCGCCTTGTCGATTTTCTTCGATGGATCGTAAACACTTTGGATTACAACGCGTTGACCGTGACCCAAAATGTTATAATCTCGATGGTTCTTATATAGATCGACGGATTGTTCGAGGGATTAATACGTCATATTGGTAAATATAAGATTTCTTGGATTTTCGTTGAATAGTAGTGATTTTTTATCTTTCATGGTTGGACGATAAAAATCGTTGGTCGAAAGTGTAGAAAGTGTAACAATTCAGACGTAATGGTGTGTGGGAGGGTGGGGGGAGCTGACAAATTTTGGTCGTTTCCATTTCGATTTGCCTGTTCGATTTACAGGATTTGTTAGTAGAAGTTCGTTAAATTCGCGACTTATTGCAGGATATTATAGCAGGGGATATGATAACGATGTTTGCCGCGAGATCCTGTGTAAACCCAAGTTTTAAGGTGCGTCTCCACTTGTTGCGTATCATCGAATTGTATCACCGTACGATATATTTACATGTGCAACGATTGTCCACATTGATACAGAACGGTGACACAATACGAGAATAAGCAACAAGTGGATACGCACCTTTACATCGCATTATTTCGCTCTTAAGTCAGACCGCCTCGCCGTCCCGTGTTGGGACCGCTGGCCGTGCGTTAAGGGGTGAACAATAACGGTCATTTCCTCTTGTTACAGCTGCGCGGTGCTGGTTCGCTTATGTCCAGCTAATCGTTCAGCGTTCGAGCACTGATTCCCCACTTTGGCACTCGACGCCGAGGCTCAAACGAACCGCCGCCGCAACCGCCACGATGGAGGTATTGATGCACGAGGCGAGCAACGGCCAGGAAACGAATCCGACCGGCCCGTTCATTTACTCGAGCGGAAAACAATCGGTGAAAGAGAAACTGGACGACACGCGAACGGGGAAGAACGAGGCGCGTTTCATGGAAACAGCCGCGGCGGACACCATTGACATCGCCTTCGAGAACATCACTTATACGGTGTCGCTTGGCTACAGAAAAGGTCAGCCACAAATAGTGATGGGATTTGGAACGCTTCGAATCGCTTCGAAACTCTCTTGAATTCGAGCGACAAATTCGAATCGCTTCGAATCTGATTCGTAGCTTTAAAGTCTTGAAAGTCTTGAACGGATTCGAAGTCTCGAGCGGATTCGAGTCTTGAACGGTCTTGGAAATCTTGATCGTTTTGTAATTTCTTGGAGGCCACAAGCATTGTTCGTCCGTGTTCTGTTAAATTAACACTAAATAATGGTATAATCCCCCGTTAACTAATCGACATACAAAAAAGTTACTCGCATTTTTAAATATCGTCAATAGTTTTGGATTTATTCGAGTGGGTCCATTAAAGGGTTGTTACAACGTGTTCCCCCTCCAGTACTCCCCATTACGTCACGTGAGCATCGAGCGGCCATGTTTCACTCTGCTCCCGGCAACCCTTGCTTCCGTCTGACAAACATCACGGAATACCCATTCATGATCGCAGCAATCCACTGGAATACGGTGTGTGTGCGTGTTTTACAGGACAAAAAGAAATATTACATGGCATTAACGGAAGGTTGCCGGCGAAACAGTTGATCGCATTGATGGGGCCATCCGGAGCGGGGAAGTCGACGTTGTTGGACGTTCTGTCCGGATACAGGATAACCGGCGTGAACGGCGACGTCTCCATCAACGGACGAACCCGACACATGAACTCCTTTCGAAAGTGAGCCCATACATCTCGCTGAACCATTTTTTGCATCGGTGCTCGATGTAAACGATACTAACACTAAGTGTATGGGACCCGTCATTTTGATGGAATTTTGAATTTCACAAGGAAAATTACAGAAACCGTTTCTCTCCTACCACTTATGCTGACTTTTATCCGTTTAACGAGACAAATATACAGGGTGCCTCAGCTAATTTAATCACCTCGAATAAGGACTGAACGGTACTAGGAAGGTGTTAAGGAAAAAGTTGTTTTAAATCATCCCACGAACTACCCATTTCCGGGAGTCGAAACTATTTTGGGACACCCTGTATATGAAATGTCCGTAAACTTAGTGTTAACGACCCCGAATACAGAATTCACGCAGCGTTCGGTTCACCAAAAGTTTAATTGAACTTTTGTTGTGTGTTGCAATCCGTCACAGATGCAGCGCGTATATCACGCAAGACGATCGTTTGGAGCCGTTGTTGACGGTCGCAGAAAACATGAAAGTGGCCGCTGACCTCAAGCTGTCGACGAAGATTCCTCGACACGAGAAGGAAACGATAGTGAGTAAAAACGGCCCCGAGCGTCGTACGGGTCGATTGTCGATATTTTCTTCTGTTGCATCGAAACTCGCCAATTGCAACATGAAACGGCTCCGTGGGGGATCGATAAGATAAACTTTTATGCGAACTTCTTACCGTATGTACAGGGTGAGTCAATAAGAATTATCTAAAATAACTTGTTACCAATTGGTTGTATCAGAAAACATTTTAATGAATTATGTAGCATTTTAAGATTTCAAGGTGACCTGGAATTTTTTGTTATTGATGGAAGGACGAATTCAATTACTTATAGCACGATGGTATTAAAAAAAAGACGATTCAGTAAAACGTTTTCTGATACAATCAATAGGTACCGAATTATTTTAGATAATATTTCTTACTGACTCACCCTCTATGTATACAGGATGTTCCGCTTAAACCAGGCCACCTAAATATCTTCTTCATCTGTCATCATACGAGAAATATGTTTACGTAATTTAAATAGTTTCAAGAGACGAATCGGATGGCGGGAAAATTTTTTCAATAATTGTATGTATGTCGTGTTGACGTGGTTTACAGATAGTTAACATTTTCACATACAGTGTCAAACGACAACGACAGCCATGACTCTTACTGTCGCGTGAAAACGTACCTTTACACAGGTTTCTCTCAGAGAACTGGCGCAAAGAACCCCCTGAAAACGTATCGAATTGGTCCCTATTTTTTGGTTATAAATCCCAAATCAGGACCGTTTCTATGGATCACGGACACTAAAAGGAGACCTCTACTTGAGAGACACCATGTTTGTTATTTCAGATCGAGGAAATTCTGACCACATTGGGCTTGTACGAGCACATGAAGACGCGAGCTGAGAGGCTGAGCGGAGGTCAGAAGAAACGGCTGTCTATTGCTCTTGAGCTGGTCAACAATCCCACCGTTATGTTCCTCGACGAGCCAACGACGTACGTTTTAACGTGTCGAGATGTAATATAAAAAAACAATTTCAATGAACCATGACACCGATTGACTATCTATGGGTAATGGTGGTTCTGAACGCTTTAACGCAAGGACACATTCGCACATAAACTAACGAAAGCATTAACTCTAATTCGTTCCTCATTTTCTTAACCTGATTGGTTCCTGGGTGTCAATTTATTGTGATAAAAAATTTAATTTGTATAAAATAGTTAAATTTGCATTTTTTTTTAAATACATACAGATCACAAAGCCTCAACTAATTCTACCTGCATACAGACCCCTCTCGATTATTGTCTGGCTTGTTATTCTACACGATTATTGTCCAGGCGTTATACGTTTTCAAAATGAAATAAAAAAATTTAAAGGGTTAAAGGAAAGGCTAAAATAAGGGTTAAGTTATTAGTTACTAAAGAAAAAAATAAACTAAGGGTTAAACAATCATTGATCGCGAGACGTGCACGGAATACAAATTGTTTGGTGTATTCAGTAAAAGTCACAGACATTCTAAATAACCTCTGTTGTCGTCGCGTGTACTTGACCGGTGTGAACTCCGCAGTACGTTTGCCCATCCAACGTCTCAAGGATAATTTCTGTACACCGTGTGTTCGCAGGACTTTGATTTATGTCCCAGTGTGCACACGAGGATATATGTTATTCATGAATTATTATAAATTTAGTTGTTCATCCGGTGTACTATAATCTGATACGCCCATTTTTTTTTCTTTTTTCAGCGGTCTGGACAGTTCGTCTTGCATGCAAGTGGTGAACTTACTGAAGTTGCTTGCGCGTCAAGGAAGAACGATCGTTTGCACCATTCATCAGCCTAGCGCGTCCCTTTTCCAGCAGTTCGACCTGGTAATAATAAAATCAACACACACAGGATGGATGTGCCACGTTTGAGTCCACTGTACCCTTATTTGAACAAGTCCACTCCAATTCCCATCGCCAAGTCACACACACACGAAACAAAAAAAAACAACAGAAAAATTACGCCACTTAACCCTGTGCTTTGAGTATATTTCGAAACCATTCCACGTGTTCCGTTTTCTTTAACATTGTCAAGGAGTTTGCATACTTTTTCGAGGTAACTTTTTCGCGGTTCTTGTGTCGAGACTTGACATTCAGGCTTAAAGACGCCTTAGACCTAAAATAGCTGTAAAATAGGCGTCTTTAAGGCGTCATTTGTTTCTGAGGTATCAAGTTGACCTCCAGTTTTTGCAACGACAGTACATCTTTTTTTTCATGATGATTTCAACGACCTATAGCATGATGGTATTAAAAAAAATGATATCTATCTATGCAACCCTTAACATGCTATATGATTAATGAAAACGTTCTTTTTTATACAACTAATAGGTAATGAATTATTTTAGATAGTATTTCTTGTTGCCCTTATCCTGTATATTCGCTCGAGCCTGAGGACCCTGTGCACGGTTAACCGTCCCAAAACATGCCCCAATCTATCTGTTTGCTCGACAGGTTTACGTACTGGCGAAAGGGGAGTGTCTGTACCACGGTGGGACCGGCCAACTGATCCCTTATTTGGAAAACATCAAGCTACCGTGTCCTATGTACCATAACCCAGCCGATTACAGTAGGTCTTAAATTACCTTTGAAACGCGTACAGTGAATCATCGATGAATGTTCGAAGGCTCCTCGGCACCGAACATTAAATATTTCATAAACTAATGGCTGTACAAATACAATTAGCTTCAGAATTCCAATCTCTATCACTGTGTTAAACCTCATTAAAAAGTCAACGTGGAAAGTGCACCTGGGACCTCTCCTTGTCAGTGCCGAGGGGGCCTTCGAACACTCAACGAAAATTTATTGCTCTTTAACTCTGTGTTCTTGGACTCAGGTATGACCTCGTGCTTATTACAGTAATCGAATTGGCCTGCGGTGAATACGGCGAAGATAAAGTATCGTTGTTAATAAACGGCTCGGAAAACGGCAGGAGCCTGCAGTGGTTTAAAGATCCCGATAGTCTCACGGATGCAAAAGGTTTGAGAGGTACGCTTCGAGCTGGCCTGTCCTCTGTTGTGATTTATTACAACCGTATGCGGAGACGATTAATATACCACCAGAACCGGACCGTCGACCGGCGCGAACTGACATTATTTTTAATTTTTCTTCTTTTTTTTTTGGTCTACGGTAGCGTTGCATCCACAGAAAAAGAATAACGAGACGGAGGGTTATACGAGCTTGCAGGCGACACCGTTGCTGCATCAAATCAAGATCTTAATGGGAAGGGGTTTTCTCATGTGCAAAAGGGACACGGTGAGTTGCACAGCACCTGTTTTCGGCGTGTCATCATTTTGGGCGTCGAGACACGGCCCCAATGGTATTTTAAATGCCAGATCTCGCTTTGTACCTATATAAGGATCTTATTTCCATTACTGTGAGGTAATGTTACTTCACAATTGCTTTCTTCGTTGCAGACATTAACGCACTTACGAATCCTAGTCAATATAGCCGTCGGCTTCATGCTCGGCTCGGTGTTCCTTGAAAGCGGCGTGGACGGTGCCAGAGTACTAGACAACTATAATCTTCTATTTTCCATTCTCATACATCTTATGATGACCACGATGATGCTTACTATAGTCACTTGTAAGTGGAACGCTGATGTCATTTTTAAGTGTGACTGTCGGTGGTTCCTGTTACACGAAACCACTGAACATTCAGTGGAGCCTTCAAACACTCATCGATGATTTACTGTATCGGATACGGTACTCTGTTACTAATTATATTTTCGTTGGAAAATTAAGCATGATTGTAATCGTTGCTGTTCCAGTTCCTATGCAAATGAGCATCCTGATGAAAGAGCATTTCAACAGGTGGTACAGCTTGAAAGCATTCTACGCGGCCCTAACGTTAATCGACCTACCGATCTCGATATTCTGTTGTCTGGCTTTCAGCCTGATTGTGTATTTCATAACGTCCCAACCGATGGAGATTGCACGGTTTCTGATGTTTTTCTCGATCAGCCTGCTGGTGTCGTTCATAGGCCAAGGAACTGGTCTCATGATCGGGGCGGTGTTCGATGTAACTGTGAGTACCCTCTGGTTCACGAGATCCGTTCCTCAATTTTCCCAACTTAATTTGTCCCTCGGTGTCAAATTGATCCAGTGGTACAAATTAATACAACGACACTTCGTTGAAAAATCAATCAAATTTGTCACTATAAATGGTTAAATTTACAAATTCTTTAAAGTAAAAATCATGATGCTTCAGCTAAATTTATCTGCATATGACAAAATAACGCGCTTCTTTGAAGAAAACTGTGTCAAATTGACACAAGGGACGGATGTGGGTTAATTGATGTTTCGTGCTAGGAAACGCTTTCTAATCGTACCGTTGCGATAAATATACTACGCGATAATCATAACGACGCTTCGAATTTCAGAATGGAACGTTCTTGGGACCAACGTTGTCCGTGCCATTGATGATGTTCGCCGGTTTCGGTGTGTCGTTACGCGATATACCGAGTTATCTGAAATGGGGCACATACGTCAGTTTCCTACGATACGGCCTGGAAGGGTAATATGCTTTTTTATGCTAATTTTTCTGTCACCAATCTGCTGAACTGGACACGAGGTAGAACAGAGATTAGCTAATTTATTGTATCGCATGTAGATCTACCAGCAGAGAGAGACAACTGTTTGTTTTATAAACTTTTTTAAAACAAATTTTTTCCAATGCCTGTTACAAAGTTATGGCAGAGGAGGTTAAATATTTAAATTCTGCTCGAATCTCTGTGAACAGTACAAGTCACAATTAACATTTATAAATTTACAGATACATCAGTGCCATATACGGATTCAATCGGCCGTTGTTAGACTGTAAATCAAGGAACAACTTGTATTGCCACTACAGGTATCCGTCGAAATTCCTCGACGATATCGCCATGGACGGGGAACAGTTTTGGAACGACTTCGTGGCATTAATCACAATACTTCTCTTGACTCGGATCGCGGCTTATCTGCTTCTCAAATGGAAGATCATATTCGTACGATAAAAGAAAAAAAAACACAAACCGAAGTCATGGTTTCCAATTAAGAACCACGTGTTTTTCGCGACTCGTTGAACTTTGACTGTCCACAGTCTGACAATAAGCAACTGTTTGTCGGTTGTTTAACCTTACAAGTGAAAGACGCGTGTGAAAGAGTATATTTGTCGGTCCACACGTTAGCCAGTATACTTAATTTAAAGTATAAAACCAGGTGCACGGTGTGCTGCGGCCTAAATGTATCACAAGTATTCGACTCTTTAAATCCGAGACAATTTTTTTGTGAACATTTAGCGAAATTCACGCCTCATAACTTGCCAGTATCATCTGGAAAAAAACACATTCGACTAATCACCATGTACAAAACGTCTGTATTCCTTATAATTATTAGGGCAGTCCATAACTGCACTGTACATTTATTTTACAATGAAATGTTAAAAGTAAGTAATGAATTTTTAGGGATATTAAGAAAAAGCTGCCATCTTTAGGCAGAAACGCAGCGATTAGAGAGATAACGAGAAAACCCAGAAAAATATCAAATGTATCCTCGCGAGCAAACTTGGCATCCGCTAGGAGAAAAAGTGGCGTTGGAGAGGGACTTCCTAAAATTTGGTATCAGGAATCATTGAAATATGTAGCAAATTAACATTGGATTTAACATTTATTTCAGTACTGGAAATAAATTTACCAATTGGTAGGAGGCCATTCTACTACGTTAGATTTTTCCCTAGCGGAAGCCGAGTTTGCTCGTGAGGGTACTGGGCTTGTTAAATCGGGGAAAGTTTTATTAACTTTATTTCCGGTCGACACGTTACAACGTGCAATTGCTCTGAACAGAGACGCAAATGGCTAATGAATGAGTAATATAGGTACTATTAAATAGTAAATTAGGTATAATCTAAGATTGATATTACTGCGAGACGATATCTTCCGATATCGAACGTGATATTTAAGGATTGCTCAACGAAAGTCAATTAGCAATGCATACGAGCTTTTTACATGTCGCGGGTTTCCTGCCAAAGTATAGTGGGAAACGTTCCGTTTCCAGTTAAAACTGTTGTATATAACTACAGGGTTTAAATTCTATTTAAGACACTTTTTTTTTTGTATAGATTATACTACACTACAAAGTTTCTTCATTCCTTCGATTCATACGTCTGACTCTCAATCACATATGTATGTAAGGTATTTTTATACAACTATTTTGTTAACAACTTTACACTGATGGGACCAAAAATATACTTCATCAGTTAGAATTTGGTTACTTCCTTATTAATACTGGAATTTTTTATTCCGATAAGACAACAGATTTTTTAATACTCGCAACGAAACTATATTTAACATATTTGTGGTAATAACAAATTTAGAGAGTTTAATGGTTGCAAAAACTTGATCAAGGGGGACAACAATTCAGCTGGATCTACTATAAATGTAAAAGATTCGCGAATCACTTGTTACATTTAGTACCTTTATTCTTGGGAATAGTTAATTTAATGTATAAAATCAAAGTGAATCGTATTCTCAACCGTTCGGAATTATTAATCTTTTGGCATTGAACTATCCGAGCCATTAATATTTACGGAAGTACTTTGAACTCGTAATCTCAGCAATTTGATGTGACGTATCGAGAATTCTGTATATATGTATATAAGTACTTATGGAAACGTACGCTTATCAAAATTTAGATAACCTCTTCTTGAGACCACGTATTACGCATATGCCTTCAACAATGTAAGCATAAATGCCTCAAACAATCTTGCACAAGAATATGCAAGAATATACGTCTCAAATTCTAGTGATAGCAACACAGGCGTTGTGTGTCTCGAACGAGTACGTCCACTTGTGCCTCCAAAGTCTTACCCTGTTCGTACATTAGGCTCGAAATATAAAATACAGTGAGGTTAATGTCGGATTAATATAAAATATAATTTTCGTCCGATCAATATTAATATACATTTAGGTATAAAAAGCTACATTATTCGTTACTGGTAACTTTCAATTAAAAATTAAATATATCCCCAAGGAACGTAATGTAAATATACTCTCCTTGGCAGCTTTCTGTTTCTTTTTCATATAAACGACAGATAAGACGCTTTTTCTGAACCGTCTGGCATTATGCATTTCAAATTGAATTAATAAAAAACTCGTCAAATCTTATCGATCTAAAAATTGGTCAACAACTTTGAGAGTATTTTTGCTAACGAGTAATTAATTAAGAAAATCTTAACGTAATATCTTATCTTTGAGCTACGTATGCTTTTCGTTTAAGTATCAGGTACGTAAGGATCTGCAGACAAACGATCCAAATGCACAGCGCGAATATGATCACGTAGAACGAGAATGTTGGCATGTCCATCGACTCCAGAATTTTACTCGGTGAGCGTAGATGACAATAGGTTTTGGTACACGGTAACTTTTCCCTGTCCCCGTCGTAAATTGCTTGGAGAATACCCTCGAACGCGTACCTGTAAAGAACGTACAAAGTATGTATATATATACAGGGTGTCTCAGCTAAATTGATCACCTCGAATAATGACTTAAGGTACACATTATTAAAATCTTCAGGCGTGATCAAGTCAGCTGAGACACCCTGCATATAAAGTACATACAGATTTTATGCAATCCAATTTGCGGCGTGGTGAATTTTGTTAACATACCTGAAGAAACTAACAACGCACAACGGTCGAAGGCACAAGGACACTTCGTTGAATTTCAAGAAAAATCCAGCAAAAAGAATCATCGGCATGTTGATCGCAGGAATCAAAAACACTCCCATCTGAAAATGTTAAGAGTTTCTTATTTGTTTATTATGCAAAATATAACGGGCGACTTTTAACCTCGTTATTAGAGACAGAATAGTGGAGAACAGCTGTGTTGTGTGGTGGTGGAGGGTGGGAAATCTAAATGATCTTGAACGACAACTAATTGGATTGCAACTCGGGAATTTTTCCATTATCAGAATACTCGATTAGTTTGTTTATGCAGTGAGGTAGCATGTTAATATTCTCCATACGATTCAAACAATGCATTACGTGCTGATCGAACGCGACGCCGACAAGCATCCCTGACGATTGTCCTAGGATCGCTGTTAAAATGCAAATCAACCAGGTACGGAGGAAACGGTCGCATTCCATGGGTTGACCAGTCATGTAATATGCTATGCTGATAAACACGGATGGACAGAGCAACTGAAAGAAAATTAATTCCATCAGAAATTGTATCTATTAGTTAGAGTCTATAAATGTACAGTATGTAAGTTTTAAGTGTACTTCTGTGATGATTTCTGTCAGTAGCATATATACATTTATTTTATTGTTTCTGAAATGCCGCCAGCACGTAAACTTTGAAAATTAATAACTTAACAATAGCTTAAGGAAAATATGTGTACAGGTAGTGTTTTGAATGCGTCTCAACGTAAGCTAAAAGAATATGCAATAAATAATATAGAGTCCCATTTAAATATTTGAACGTGACCTTCACAGGAGTGTCCAGCGTTATCTCAAGGTCAAATAAATATTATCACGATATGTCCCTCGTGATATCACACAAGTTCATCTGTAACATTTTTTCGTATTTTTGCTACTTACAGAAATAATCATACGAGTACACTTAAAACTGACAAACTGCATATACCGGGTGTCCTGCAATTTTTGTTCAATTTTTTACAACTTACTTGCATCGGAAGATCTACAATAATCTTCGCGGAATAATAAGACCTCAAACGGTACCAGTTATTTAAATATTCACGCAGGAATACAGCAGCCTCTATTGGAACTATAAAAATAACAGATGTTAATTAACTTCGACGAATATAGCAGAACCATTTAACGAATCGTTTGGCGTTACGTATCCCTGATTTGCAAGATAGCGTAATCCGAACGATTTTGTAACTTACACATCAGTACGGCTGGCATCGAATTCGAGAAATACAAAAACAACAAAATGAAAAATACACAAGCTATGTTGCTGTTGGCCCTACTGGCATCGGTTCCAGCGTTATAAAACACGCTGCCTAGTAGAAAAGCTACTACCACGTGGGCTGCGAATCTGAGCTTAGTAAACGTCTAAAAACAAAGGAATCGGCTTGTATAGAAATAAAATATGCTCGAGTGCAATTGGAGAGATAACGAAAGTGTGATTGGCTGTATGTACAATTAGGTAATGAGCGCATTCGATATAACTGCACTAACATTGTCCCGTCTGACACAGATCATTCCCCTCAATAACAGGACCTTCCCCTCGTGCCACATGGATGATGGATGCGACATGCTCGCAGTATTGTCAAGCTTTTCCGTGACCGTTGAATCCAAGTCTAAAACATATATATGTCACGGTAAGAGTATTAGGTAGATACCAGAATCGACAGAGACGTGACAATAAAGTTTAGAGAACGACTCATTCATAAATTTTTATTTTGCAAAATTAATCCATCCCCTTCAAAGTAACCATACCATCCATGTTACGTTACGAGGTGTGACAACAAAGTTCCGAGAATAATTTTGTTTCCGTCAAAGTGGCAACAACGTAAACGGTTATCACCGTCCACTTTGTCGGGAATAAAATTATTCTCGAAAATTTATTGTCATACCACGTAATGTAACGCGGGGACTACTTTGAAAGGTGACAGGTTTCGTATCTGTTTAATTTTCGAGATAATAGTTTTTTAAATCAATCATTCTCGAATGTTTATTGCCACACGTCATACGCTCTTTGACTGTGAGCATTAACTTTGCATTATTAAAATATACATGAAGAAACAGAGTGTTGTAAGAGCTAATGACATTCTCTATTTTATACTCTATACAAGTAGAGCAATTAATCTCAACGAATAAATTTTTTAGTAATTACCCGTTATAAGATCCCGGGAATACGTTCGACATTTTTCATATTTGTCACGATTAATTGTATACAAATTGTTCAAAACTCCGCCTCTCTCTCCCGTCACGACCTCTAAAACTATAATCAAAAAATTCACGATCAATTTTTGCTATATACAATACTTGAATCTGTGTGTGTTCAGTACTTCCGGCATGGGCGTAGCCAGAGGGGGCAAGAGGGGCTTCGCCCCCTCCCCTTGGAAGGAAACAAAGTGAGCCTTGCACTACTCTAGAATAAAAAAAAATTGGATTTACCCCCCCCCTTCCCAGAAGAAAAAAATTGGACTGTGGCCCGCCCCTTTCCCGAAGGAAAAAAATTACATTGCCCACCCTCCCCTTCTCCGCCAACTAAAAACCTGGCTACGTCCATGACTTCCGGTCTCCAAAATTACCAAATTCGGCTATATTATAAAATTGCGGGCACGCGTAACCCGCGTCGTTGAAGGTATTTAAAACATCGTCCCAGGCGCCGCAATAAAATGATCTTCCGCCGTGAAGAACCAGCAGGTCGTCGAACTGCGATATCATGCGACTGCTCGGTTGGTGAACGGCACACGCGACCGTGCAACCGGATTTAGCCATTTTATGCAGCAAGCTGATCACCTATGGAAACAAATACACATATACACTACTGTCAGTTTCACAGACTCCACAGGCCTGGGATTAAGCATTAAGCAAAACAGGAACGTGTTTTGGGCATCAAAGGTAGGGGGGTATCACAAAAATTTTCCATTGTTAGATTCAAGTATTGATCAATTTCAGTATATCTTTTTAAAAATATATAATACGAAAAATAATCTGTTCTCTTGTTTATGACAAATACGGGCCTAAAAAAATTTACGACAAAGGTACGATGAAATTATAGTTTGGTCGGAAACTTTTGATAACCAGTATACAAGGTCTACCCTATCTTGGGTTAAGAGTGGGGCCCCTAAAAGTCGTAATCTCGGCCCTGTGGATTTGCAACATCGTACAAAACGATTGGAAAGATCATTTCCCATTGATTACAGTGAAAGGACCTGATTCGAGGAGGTGCTGTCGAGGCCGCTGGTCGGTTCATCGAGCAACAACACGGACGGCCTTGTGACCATTTCTATGCCTATCGATAACCGTTTACGTTCGCCGCCGCTCAGATTCTCCACCATAGTGTCGAGACAGTTCGACAAACCAAGATTGTCCGCTATTTCTTTGACCTGGGAAACATACGTTTAAACAGGAAATATTAAAATATTAAAGCGAAAAAGTCCCTTCGTTGTTGTTCAAAATCGATCTTAACAGAAACATCATTACGATTAACCGAATCTCTATGTATTAGTTACACCCATACTTCGCTTTACGGCCTAGATACGTTCCGAAAAACTTGGCCGTATAACGAATCAATTATTTTGATACAAACCCATACAAATTCAATTGGATATGTGTTCCAATTTCTTATAAAATAATATAATGTTTAGTTCATAAAGAATTTTATTCTTTTTATTTCCTAACTGGAAATTTTGGTCGTATAACGAAACATTGTGGGCCATAAATCGAAAAAGTGCCATAATTAAAAAAGGCCGTTATAGCGAAATGACGTATAAAGAGCGTCCGTATAGCGAGGTATAGGTGACTTGTGAACCTACGATCAAACAGTAAGCCCGTCGATCACGAATGTCTTGAACTTTCAATCGGACGGCAATGTAGAGCGACTCTCTGGCGGTGAGTAACGGTAACAGCGCGAACTCTTGTGGTAAGAAGCATGTTTGCTTGCGAAACGCCCCGGCGTTCCATTTCCGGTCGTTGATGGTGATCAAGCCTTTCACGTTCGTCGTTTTCAGGGTGGATACGATGCGTAACAACGTAGTCTTCCCGGCACCGGACGGTCCGATAATTACAGTGAGTCTTCCCGAACGAAAACATCCGGTGACATTTTCTAAAATTCGCTTCGGTTTGCCTGCAAACGAATGGATCCTTTACTAAATACAGTGTCTGTGTGAGGTTAACAGTGTACAGCCACGTGCAAACCAGAGCAAACTCGACTTCCGCTAGGGAAAAAGGTGGCGTAGGAAAAGGGGCTCCTATATGTATTGGTATTAGGAATTATTGCAATTTATGCTAAATTAACATTCGGTTTAACATTTATTTCATTACTTCAAAGCCGAGTTTGCTCGCGAGTGTACGTTAATGCGATTGTAAAACTGGTATGGGGGGGGGGGGCACGAACAGTAGCTTCTTTAACTCCTCGGATAAAAAGTAATATAAGGAGGAAAACTAACGTAAAAAGGAAATCGATTGATTCCCGTGAATTATTGTTCGAGCAAAGATTTTGCCTACCAGTGACAGCAACAAGACACGCCATTCGGGACGATACGATTGAAAATTCATTCCGGCCAAAAATGAATCACAATTTCATTGAAATGCGTTATGATGAACAGATTGTTGTTGCATCATCGACATAATTACATATGTACGCAAACAAACGGCTCCGATAGTTGCCGTTTGCGTACCAGATTCGATTATCTTGTAGATACGCAACAATCGACAAACGAAGATAACATACTTTTAATCTCGTATTAATGGTTTACATTAAATATTAGTATTTTTTGCACGTTTCTGCAAGCTCGTAACAGCAACCAAGTGTCGTCTTTAAATCGTGTGAAACGATAACACATCGATTACGTCGTTTTACGGTTAATCCGAAAGCTTACATAAAACGACTTTGACCGCGACTTGAGCTTTGATCGGCGTAATTTTTCGTGTCGACCTCTTCATCGTGCGCGACTCTGACATTTTCGTAAACAATGCAATCGAACGAACGGTATAATACGTTCTACAATAATGGAAAACAATATTTATTATCCATATTTAAACGACTCTTAACTCTTAACTATGTAAATGTGGGTCTTTCATGTACGATTGATTTTCCAGGGGGTTTACAAATTTTAAGAAAAATCTGAATAAATTCATATGTAAATAGCATTTTCAAACATTTCAAATTAAGATACTAGCCCAACAACTTTTTCTAGGCAGTGTCTCGGAACAAAGGCTCGCTACCAACTGGTTTTCGAGAAACCTCTCAAAACTAATTTCGGCCCGAAAGACATGTTCACGCGTTAACCTTTTAAGTATTTTGTTTCCAAGTATTCTTTTATTAATTTTTTTCTTTGAAAACGTCCATTTGTGTACTTAATTTTTTTTACGCTATTACGAGTATACTTGACAAAAGCAGAGTAAGTGCATTTGCTGTGAAAAGGAAGTTAATCCTAATAAGATTTTGCGTTATCTACTGCCAAAAAAATGTCACAGCCTTATCAAACAGTCCTCGTGCACATACTGCTGCGTATCTCTTTTTTTTTCAGATAATTTTTTTTCTTTGTACACTGACGGGCAAACTCAGCTTCCGCTAGGGGAAAAAGTGACGTAAGAGAGTGACCTTCTATCACTCGATCTTGGGAATTATTGAAATGTATGTCAAATTAATATTCAATTTAACATTTATTTCAGTACTTGAAATAAATTTACCAAGTGGTAGGAGGCCCATCCCCTATGCCACATTTTTCTTTTGATTTGTCCTAAAATATTCTAAAATGTGTTAAAACTACGAACATGTTTTTGTTTTACCGAAATTTTACTTTAAATAGCAAATGCAAATATTTTTTTCTTAACGATAACTATACTCGTCATTAAAAAAAATGCCTATCTTTTCATAAGTATACTCGAGATAAACATCGAAAAGGTTTAGAATTAAATTACTATGAACAATGTTTATAAAACTTAGGAAACATAAAAAAATAGCGATTTTATCGTTAATTCAACGATTTCGACATAAAAGGTTAAGAAAACGTGACGACTCTCTTATATCGTGAGAAATAATTTTAAATTATAATATTTCCATTCGAATGATGCCTAACTCTGATGGTATTCGGAACTACAAAAAAAAAATGACGATATTGCAGGCGATCAAGATAATTGAAACAGGTAATACGACACTTTCACCGCGCATCTAAATGACTTGCCTTTATTACGGTTGACCTCGTACCCGAGATCATCGAATTCCACGTGCATCTTAGCGATCGGCCGTATTTCTGTATTAAGAAAGTTGTCGTCGTCCCGCAACTGAATCGTGCATCCTTCGTCGGTCATTCCCACTGCTGAGTCAACGGTTCTGTCGTTAGTGTACGCCTCCATCCCGATTCGCCAGCACGCTGCGATCGAACGTTAAGCTAATCGCACCAATCGTGGTCTGTCACTGTGAATCAAACCATCAACCGTTCGAGATAAATCAGAAAACCGTACAGAACGATCTCATAATACTCAGCGTCTTTGTGTACGCGAAATCTGTCAAGAAAAGATCCATATAGGAAAAATAAAAATATCACTGTTTGAACCGACATTGAAAATTATCAATAAACTTCTAATCGTAAAAAAAATGTTTCATCGCTCTACAGTGACGTTTCATGCAAACAAATCGATGTGTGATTCAACAATATTCAAAGTCAGAGACAAGGTCACCGTTGAAAAAGATGTAACGAATTTTTAGGAACACCGAAATGATAAAACACTGTCAGCCAAACAAATGTCGAGGTTATTAAGAATGAACGAAACATACGATGCAGCTTTTATCTATTGTGCTCGCAACGTTAACTGCCAATTTCATTCTTACGCTCGTCGCGAGTGGTCGCGAGATAAACTTCATTTATATAGAACTAGTCACCACAAACACACCTTATATGTATGGTGCGTCCTGCAACTGTTTGGAATTCAACAAGTTCCTCGCGATCTCTAGATTGATTATTTCTCTCGAAAGAAAATACAAATCGGACGTGAATCACGTGCTTTCGGATGTTCGAGGTTCGTTAAGGAGCTGGGAAACCAACATTATCGATGATGGTCTAACACTAATGAGTTATTCCTGTAGAATTTTCTTTAAGGGGTACAAAGTGCCTTTCACCGTGTGTATTCTATGGACGGATACATTCACGTCCGCGACGTTGCCGCTGACCACGAGACAGTTCACACTATCTCGTAATTATCGTTTTACACACAAATAAAAGATCATGTTTACAACTGTCACAGACGTCGTTTCCACGAGCGACTTTTTACGATAAGAGTGCGAATGCAGTAACCGCCCCTTCCCCCCCCCCTTCGGTGGTTCAAATCTGTCTCCGTTGAAAATACGTGTATGCATGGATATTACACGCAAAATAAGAAAACTTTCTTCCACGTGATTGTTCTCTCGTGCAGTTTGTTTCGATAGAGTCGACAGTCCGCCAAGCACGACCGATGCAACGCGCTGAAACTCGTCGCGGCAACTGCCGATTAAACGGCCGATTCAACTTCACTGTAACTTTCTTGCCCCGTAGATCTCGCCTGACTGCCGTTACAGTGCGTATAAATTCGACCTTGATTCGTGATTAGATGTTCCCTCCAAGTGCTATGAATGCCAATGGAAATTTGTAGATTGTGCAAGTGACTGGTTTAGGTTTTTTTTCTTTCCTTTGTATTTTACTAGTTTCTTGATTTAAGATAGTAGGACATGTCACAACATGGCGCCCCCGTGTGAATCCTTGCTGTAAAGTGACAGTTGGAGAGAATTCTTATCAATTACGGATTTTCAGTTCAATCAGACACGTTTTGGTTCCACGCTAGCATACATGTTAGGATGAATCGATACAAGTAAATACAAGTACATTACTCGATACTTTTGTTTCGATACTGAGTACTTTTGGTATCGATACCTGCGATTGCGATACCAAGTAGGTATCGAACAAAAGTACTCGTATCTAGTGATGGGTAATCGATACGGCTCGGCTGGAGCCGTATCGATATCGGTTGACATCGTCCCGCTACATCCCCCCGGTACAAATTTCAGTAATTCCCGATACCAAGTGGCAGGAAGTTTTTCTCCCACGCCACAGTTTCACCTGTGGAAGCCGATTTTGCTTGTGAGGGTACATACATCTCATACACACAGGATGTCTTATCATGTCCGGGGGTTATATGACCCCACGTTCCACACACACGGAGTCACTTAAGAATGTACGGGGGTTCTATGACCCCTCTTACCAAGGAAGAAATCGGATGACGTCACGGCGTGCGAGCGAGAGCGGGAGAGCGAGCCACGGTATCGGTGCTCTCCGTCGGTGTCGACGCGTACCGAACGATGCCGAAGATGGTCGAAGCGGGCAAACGGGACGGAGCGAGAGCGGTACAGCGAGCCGCGGTATCGGTGCTCTCCGTCGGTGTTGGAGGAATTTCAGGGGTCT